ATTTTGAAACATAAAAATTAATGAACAGCATTTTGACCCGAATTCGCAGAATAAAATCGACATAAAAATTTCCAGATTTATGGCATCTAACCTTCTGTAACAGGTTAAAGGTCATCCCAGGTCAACAAGTGATCTAATATTGCTACAAAAAAGTCGACAGAGTTGACATGATATACTCCAGTATATCAACATCATACATAAAAGCCACTTGTGGTTAAATACACTATGAATTTAAAAAAGAAAATTTTCCTTATAATCAATTCCAAACATAAAATAATGATCATTCATATAATAAAACTGATGTAGGGGAAAAAATGTTTTACAACATGAACAAACTAAAAATACATTAATAATAATCATTACTTTGCACAGTTGCAAAAACAATGCTAAACAAGACTTCTATTAACATACTTTTCTTTAATTTTCTTCCCCTTAACCAGTAATAAACTAGTATGCCACTACATATAATTTCTTACTTTTAATGTTCAAACAACTCAATTTCTTATCAAAGTTAATGAATAAAGGCCCAAATTTTAACTTGAATGAATGAACTACAGACACCTTCACATACAAATGTAAAAACACTGCACATATCACACTCCTTTTAAATGATAAACAATTCACTATGATTTATACTAGAATATGTTATCATACAACTCATTCATTCTTAATGATTAATCTGCTCAATGCTTGGCAAGTGACACAGGTACAGGGTTGTCCACAAGTCAGAGCTTGACTGGAATGGTTTGTTTATCACAGACTGGTTAATGTTTCCTTTTCCTTCTTCTGTGTTTTTTCTCCTTGTGGAGTTCTGGTGCTTCAAGTGGTGGAAGGTGCTCTTAAAGAAATAAAGCACATGAAACAATCTAATTACAATTAGACCATTCATCTAGCTCTTCGTAATTTTATTTGTCGCTTGTGAAAATGAAGAGCGAGGTGAAAGGACTTATTTTAATTAGATTGGCATATGAAACTTTTTAGATGGTTGAAAAAGTCTATGATTATTAAATGCCTAGAGATAATCATCACTTATAAACAATTACTAAATTTCATAGAAAAATTTATCATCTCGTGTTTGATGTTTCTAAGTGTAATAACCATTTTAGTATTCAACTTTTTTGTGAATTTTAAGATCTTTGGTGCAAATACAAGAATCAAACTACTAGTTTACATAATATAAATTTCTTTGCATCTAGGTGTGAAAATCATTAGTTAAACCTGCAAAAGCAGAAATCTTCACCAGACATGCATGCAGAAAAAAAATCTTAGAAATATTGAATATTAAGCCCTCCACCTACCATTAGTAAAAGCTAGACTTGTCTCCCTTTTCCGTCATAAACATTATCGTCATCGTCATTGTAGTCAGGATCTGAAATCAGAGGAGATAATATTCACCCACTCCCGTCTGATAGAGACACACACAGAATTAGACCAATCCACCTGTTACTAACAGACACACAATGAACGGACTGAATGAGTACCTTCTCCCTTTTAGATGGGTACACTGATCACGTTTTAGAATTATAGATCATTCCTTAATTTCATCCCTGCCTTTTTAAAAATTAAAAGCACAAACAAGAATTTGCCAATTTCTGTTGACTTGGTCCGACTTAAACTGGTTTTGAATAGTTTTGAAGAAAATGTCAGCCCTAATGAAATTTTATTAGTCCCGGACAAGGGGCTGATAGAAATTAAAACACTGAACAAAATCTCCATGCATTTGAAAAGGTGTGACACAAATACTTTAGTTTTAAAATGTTGTTTAGAAAAACCAAAGTTTATTTTTAAATATTTATAAATATTTCTGTAACAGAGTATTCTCATACATGGATTATTAATGGGGTAATTTATATTTGAGGCAGAATTTGGGCCATGGATTTCTACAAAAATTGTAAAACAGAAAGAACTGATCCTGTGTTGGACCCTTATTTACTGTATAGGGGGAAAATAACTCGCGGTGTTAATATTCGCTATATTCACGGTGATATTAAATCCGTGAATTCAAGAAACAGTGAATAATTTTTCAATAATCTCCATGTTTTATTTGGAAATTTGAGAACAGACTACGATAGGTTTAAATACATAAACCACAGTACTGGTCATTTCAGTAATTACGAGTAGTACTTGTCATTCAATTATTTTAATTAGCACGCTTTACATTAATTCAAGTCAACAGATAATAACCTGTATTTGTTAAAAGGTTTAATAGCCAGAGCTACATTTTTCATCAATCAAAACACGTGGGCCATGAGTTTTGATTACCCGTGCGGAACTAATGTTACCACGCACAATGTATTTGTTACCTGCAATATCGTGCATATTATAGTTTTTATCGACATTTTAATTTAAAAAAAATATTTCAAATAACTATCGAACTTACTGAAGATTTGGATGGATATTATTTCGTCGACATACATTAACACATTACCATTCAGTGTTTTTTCGCCGCGATGTATTGAAGATCTTGGGGTGTAATGGCCTCATCGTAATAGAATATAGGAAGTTATTTGACGTTTATAGTCAAGGACTTTTGATAACTGCACCTGTTTTAATGAATCGTCAATTATTTATTAAGTCCAACTATTTTATATTAACCTACCCTGTTGTTCGTGAAATAGAGACATAACAGATGAATGGCGTTTACATGTAACTATTGATCAAGGGAGGTAACCTCTTTAACATAAGAATTCCGTGAATTCAAGAAACCGCGATCGTGTCCGATGAGAGAAAACCGTGAAAATTACAACCCGTGAAATTAATCCCCTATACAGTATACACTTATTAAAAGGATCAACAATCAAATAACTGATCATGATTTACTCCCTTCTCAAATTGACAATCAATAAGGCAAGCTCCAAAGAAGGGGTACAAATCTAGCTAGTAAATGTAAAAATGAGTAGCTTTAATGGATTTGCATTATTATCATGTATGTGACAAACTATTATATGATTAGAGTTAAAGGACTGAAAAAAGTGAAAAAAAAAAATCATTAACCTGGCATTAAAGCATGCAAGCTAGTAAACTTGTAAAAATAATACGAGATAAAGAAATTCAATTCTTTTATTTATACTGTGTTGCTTTTTATATTGTCTATGTAACTTTGTGCTTACTGGTGCTGATCAGAGAATCTACGAGTATTTATATTAATGTGTCTCCTATTGGATGAGTTATGGTGCTGTCTGTGAACACTACTCACCCTTCTCATCCTTGTCCTCGGCGTTCTCATCCCCCGCTCCGTCAACTACTGCCTGGACCAGCCGGGCGTCCTCGTGTCCCTACAATTATACAACAATTTTCAAAATACTTCAAATAGATCAAAAGAATGGGGAAAAAGCAATTTTGAACTTTTTAAATTTTTTATCAATATATACCTAGTGTTACTTATTTCATGACAGAATTATTTCTTAAAAATAACATATTATTGGAATGAATCTGAACAATGAAAGATCTACTGAATAGATTGAAATGGCTTAGACACATTCAATTCATTATGGCAATGCAATGATCTTTAGATATCTAGTGATCACTTACCCATGGTTTCTTGGGACGTCTCTCTGTTACCTACTCACCTGTGCTTCCTTAGGAAGTCTGTCCACTACTTATCCACACTTTCTTGGGATGTCTGTCCATTACTTATCCACAATTTCTTAGGACATTTGTCCATAACTTATCCAAAATTTCTTGGGATGTCTGTCCATTATTTACCCATGATTCCAAGGGACGTCTCTCTATTACTTACCTTTGTTTTCTTTGGATGTCTATCATTTATGATTCCAGAGACATCTCTCTCACTTACCCTTGATTCCTCCAGATGTCTGTCCATTATTTACCCATGATTCCTTGAGACAGACATCTCTTTCCCACTTACCCTCGATTCTTCTGGATGTCTATCCATCTTGCCAATGTTTCTATCGTCACTCCGCGGAACTTCTCCCTCATCTTCTGGATTGTGGTGTATCACCGGCTCCACGATTTGTTGATGTACCACGTTGTTATTGTGGTCCCCCAGTGGTGGCCCGTTAATGTGGTCCCCCGGTGGTGGCTGGATATTGTTGTCCTCCACTGCTGGTTTGTGGACCTCCTCTCCCTTCTCATCCTCCTGTAAGATCACCACAGTGGTTTGTTATATGTTTGAACATTTGTACAAGTATTTATGTTTTTATTTCTCTCAAAAAACATACATTTTATTTTAAAGTTACATGAACTAAAACATTTCAATATGAACTGCAGTTTATGTGCAAGTCAAGAATTTACCCAGAGAAAGTAAGGCAGAAAATGAACTACAAGCAAGTAATCATTGAACCAATAAACATTGACCTTTGTGCACTGTAAAGTTCAAAAGCAAAATTCAAGCTAAATTCCCTCATGAGTTGCCATACAGAGCAAGCATATTATGCATATAAAGCAAGACTGGTTGCACCGATCACCACAAACACTTTGGAATCCATGCTTGAATGAGATCAGCATGAAGAATCCGCAGAAGCCAAGATTCCATCAAACCTATTGGTCCAGTCACCAAGAACTACCGATTGCTTGCAAATCAATTCTCAAGAAAAGGTCATTAAAATGAATACAAAAAGCTGTGAAAGGCAAGGTTTGTACTCACAAAGTGTTAGATCAGCTTTACAATGTTTGAATTTAAAATGCCTGTTCTCCTGGCACTGAAAGACATTTTTCTGGCAATCCATGTCATTAGTTAATATTAATATTCATTAACAGTAATTTTTCATGAAAGGTTTTGACTGTCTTTGACATTTTCCGAGATATCTGAAATATCATTAAAGATCCCAAAGCTCAACAGCATTGCATAAAATTTTAAAAAATGATTTCTTCTTTCAAAAAGCTAAAGGTATTCCAAGATTCTGCTTTCCATGTAATATCTGGTCAAAACAATTTAAAAGTTTACTTCTACATTTGTACCAACATAGTTTCTGAAAAAAATATTTGCATTCAAGCAAAATAAATTCCTCTTTCTTTGTGACTAAGGAACAAGTCAAACATAGTATTAATATAGTTTAATAGATTTCAAAACATATATTGTTATCATATACACAATCACTATTTTTAAAGTATATAAATATATATTTAACATGTATTTCCATAGCTTAAGACCACTTAAAAAATCCCACAATTAAAACATTATAACCATGTTAACATTTAAAAACAACAACTTATGAAATATCATAGAAGTTGTCCACTCTATTATCCCAAAATAGATCCACCAAATGAATTACATGTATTCATATATCATAGGTTCCCAAAAGTTCGAAGTTTTAAAATAAATTAAAAACATTTCAATAAATTGTTGGTAATAGACTTTGAACATAAATGCTAGACCATTATTTTATATAATAAACAACTGTATATCTCTGTAAATTTGCAAGAAGTATACATTGTATGTATCAAACAACTATCTTAAGTCTCAATTATTTTTTTCTCTGTCAGTGTTCATAACCTCAAAATTAGATCAACACTTATAAATGAACAAAAAAGACAACATTATGAAGTAAAATCAGGTATATTTGGGAAATACAAAAACCAGCATGAAGTCAAATGTTTAAGCTGATACAGTAACAATGCATAAAGACATACTGGGCTAAAAACACTGTTACTTCATACAGAAACAAAATAAAGTACACATTTTTATGATAGTTCTGACAAGAGATCAAGTAATAGACACTTTTCTTTTAGTTACCCGAGTGTAAAAAAATGAAGATGCAACAGTTATTATTAAACATACAGTACTGTGCTACATATTCTGAACTCTTTTATGCATACATGTATTTTTGCTGAAAAAGGTAAACTAAAAATATAAATCTAGCTAAATTTCACTTGTAAAAGCCAGACCTTAAGTATATGTTTTTCTTGTACATATATCAAGCAATATTTATTTACATAATAGTTACATGCATACAACAATGTAAAAAAAATATTACCGGAGTACACTGTAATTAAATGACAGCCTTCAGTAAATTGAAATATTGTGATCAATCTGGTAATTTAACTCATATTTTATGCCAGATTAATTTGAGGACTTTTAAAATCACTCAGTATAAACATATCCATATAATCACCATAAACTATGACTAGCATTATTATCATTGGTAATTCAAATCATTAACAACATTACATATCAGGATAAAATCATAATGCACCCTCATATACCATTCCCTGAAGAAATGAAAGACAGGGAGATAAAATTTACTTAGACAGCTGAGGACAGCCACAACTAGCCCACCTCATCACACATGGAACGTATCGATAATGAGACAATGTTTTTTTTTCTTACAGAAAGCAAATATCTCCTAAATAGAGAGTAAAATTTCTCATTTTATTACCAGGAACTGGTGCATATACATACAACAATACAACAGGGAGAATACTGGAAGACATTTTTCAGTTGCAAAGCAAACCCAATTTGGTTATATATATATAAATTATATAGCCAAGAAAAAGGAAAGAAAGTCTTTATCTTGAAGATAGAAGCACATTAATAATCAAATGGTTGTACATCCGATTAGCATATTTAGAATATTTCAACGGGCAAACATTTTCATAAAGACTGCATGTACTAGAAGTCGAGGTTCATATTCTTATGAACTTATCAAAAATAAGAGTTTTCTTATTAAAAGGCCTAAGGGCATTAATGGTCATCTGAGTATAATACAACCCTATACAATGATCAATTAATAAAAATCAAAAACATAATGGAATATTACAGATCTCACCTCAATGAACGTCATCATGGTCCCATGCCTCCTTAGGGCCTTAGGGGTGGGGCAAAAACCATAAAAAATTATGTTACCTTTTAGGATACTGAACAGTATACAAAAAATTGGTTGAAATTGGTTCAACAGTTTCAGAGAAGAAGCTAAAAATGCTCAAAGTAAGAGATGCAAAATAACTCAGGTGACCTAAAAAGCAAGCAATCTAATAGTTGCTAAGAATATGCTATCAAAGACTATAATGAGTTTGGTAAAGGTATGGAAAACATTGTGCAATTGCTCAATTATAATCCTCTGGCAGTTGATTGAGTTGAAAGAATAATAAAAGAACTGAATTCCCTTACTCAAGATTTAACAGATTTGCTATTGTCAGCTGTTACACATACATCTATCAAATTAGACATATTACTGACACTAAAACACACTGATTTCTCCCTGTCTGCTATAGATAACATGTGAAAGCACTAAGTACAGTTAAGTATGGATAAAATTCATCCCTCATGGTAAACGTTACATACTATAGACTTCACTGACTGCAGTTTCTTCATCACTTTCCTGGAGGCAATAAATTCTGTTCTTTTTGAGATTCCGCATTATTTTTACCATCAGCTCCCCCTGGTGGCTGAATATTAAAACCTTGCACCTCCGGCTTCTGTAATTTTTCATTTGGAGGCAACACTTGTAAGACTGGGTCACCTAATTTGGGTTTCACATCAGCACTGTTCGATGGTTTCTCCTCTTTTTTATGTTCACCGTATTTGACTTCCTCTGCGTCAAGGATTTCTGGTGGCTGAATGTTTGGGTGTTCCTCCAGATCCTTGCGCTGCTCCAGGGCTGTCTTGTTTATAGGACTGCCATGGCTTTCGTCAACTTTCTCGTGCTAAATAGGATTTATACAACATACCATATACTTTCTGCTTAGTAAGAATTCATGCACATGATATCAGCATGATTAGTGAGTTATGAGCAGTGTTAATAAGGCGTACATGGGAATAGGTACTTCATTTCTGCAGTAGCCAATATTTAAAAAATTACTGTAAATTAATCACTTTTTCTTGAGTTAAGAAAATTTGAAAATATTTATATCTAAGAAATATAAAGTTGTTTGGTTATACTAGTTATTGTAAAATATAACCATGCTGAGAATGACTATACTCTTGATTAATACATGATCTTTAGTTAAACTGACTGCAGAAACATTCCCTAAAATATGAATACACAGACTGCACTAGTGCATGTACATTCTCAGATATAACTAGAAATAATTCAAATACACAAACAGTTTCATGCAGAAAACTTAAGTGTAAATCTCAAAGTGCAATTTTAAAATAGAGTATGTGAAAGAAATTTTAAAACTGCATAGTGCATACAGTATAACCAATGCGTCCCTTTTAGTTATATCCATTCCCCTTCAGTTAAAAGAGTTGTATCATTCAAATTTGTATTGAAATTTCAGTTTATCTTTCAAATGCTAGAAATGACAATCAGAGATAAATAGACTACATTTACCACTAACACAGTATAAAGAAATGAAAATAAATCAGCTATGAAAGATGCACAAATCAAACTTTACAACATCAACAAAACTCTCAACACTTTAAAAATATAAGATTTTGAACTACTGCTGTAATAACCTATTCCAATTCTTCCTCTCTGTTTGGTTTATGGTGTTAGTACAGAGTTACAGGCCTTACCTGAGCTTTGTTCTGCTCTACGTTCGGGGGATGGACCTGATGCTGCTGCTGGTTTTGCTCAATCAGCTTGGCTTTCTCTTCTGGACTCACTAAATTAAGACATATCATCTAGTAAGCTACACAGTATTAAAGTATCAGCTCTTACCTGAACTTAGGACAAAACAGCTATGCTCATAAAACAAAATTCATTCAATTTCAATAATTTACAACAGCATGCAACTTAAGTGTTGGAAATGATTCCACTCTTTAAATGAAGTCAGAATAAAGCATTACTACAAGGCAAAGTTTTATGTACATGTATATATTCTACTTATTATGCATTACTTATACGAGTATACTCGTTAATCCTCTGATATTCTTTTATATATAAAGAAGTTTTAACATAGTAATGATAAGGATCTTGGATTGATAATATTTTAACTCTGCACTTGACAATGGTAGTGTAGGGTTTAAAGAATATGTAAATTATCAATAAAAATGCAGAACACTTACTTGTATTGGCATTTGCTCCATGTTGCTGGTTCCCAATCTGTTGTTGGTTCCCAATCTGCTGCTGGTTCCCAATCTGCTGCTGGCCCTGAGGAAGAAAGATAAATACATGTACCACCAATAATTCCATGATCCATTCTGCTGTTAACACAATGACGTCAAATGCATACAGTGTTAAGATACATGTACATTCATTTTAAAAATCTTCTATGAAAAGTTCTCTCATAAAAATATTTTGAACAAATTCAGCATTGAGGTACATAACATTGTTATGTGCCATTACACCCAAGAACAAAATAATTGTTCATGCAAATTAATGCTACAATGAACTACATCATGTAAGAATATTATATTCATGCAGTATGTTAGGATTTACTAATGTCTGTAAGATGCATGCCAAAGCCCTGAAAGCTGCTAGTCCTACTCTCATTTTTCTTTTCTTCATTTTTACTTCTAGTTTTCATTAATCATTTTTTCTTATGTGTGAATAATTCCTAGATGCAAATATTTCAATATGCAGAAATCGATTAAGCATACAAACCAAAATATTTTGGCCTTTAAATCTCAATGTATCATCCCCTTGTTGATTATTATTTGGAAGAATTTGATTGTTAGCAGAGTTCTGGGCAAACTGATTAATAAAATTCTGGTTCTGTGGCACATTGCCTGCTCCAAATCCTTGATTGGCTGAATTTACAGGTTGACCCAGTCTCTGATTGGCCAGAGGTTGTTGACCTTGTCCCTGAATGGCCAGATTTTGTTGGTTAGCAAGTTGATTCTGCTGAACAGCTTGTTGTAACTGGATCACTCTTTGTTGAGACTCTTGAAGCTGAGCTTGGAATTGTTGCTGAAAATGGGTGACAACAAGATAGGTTGTGTGCTTTTGTGAGAAGATCACTGCAGTGAGAGTGAATAATTAATGTGAGCTTAAAATATTCCTAATTTTACTATGAATCCATGGTATCATTGCATAATTGTCCTCAACTTTTGCGAAAAATGGACAGACATTAAATCTCATTCGTATGTCCATCTGCCAGTCTGTCTGTCACAAAAACTTTGAATGGGTAGAGATCTGAGATAGAACTTTCATATTTCACAAGTGCATTACCTGTCAAAATATCTTTTCAAATATACTATGATTTTTGACCCCATGACCTTGACCTTGAAGTTTGCCCTACTTTTCAAAAAATTAACATTACTTTAAATTACCAGGGCATACATATTTGACACAATTTGCCATAAATAATGGCATTCCATCAGCTAAGACACCGATATTGGGGGACCACAATTCTTTGAATTTATTTGTTATACTTAGGATCATGATATCTACCACTTCTGAAAACAGTGTAATAAACTGCCCCTAGATCTCTTTAAACATTAGCCAAATCTTTTGCAAGACAATAGGGTGCATTCTGTAGATATAAAGGCTAAAAGGGCTAAATGGGAGGTAGTAGCCATTTTATTTTTTTCAAGATGATTAAAGGTGCCCTGCAAATGTGCAATATTTTGAAAATTCTAATTTTCACCCTTGGGGCCACAAGGTGGTCAATACATTTCGTTTTTAAATTCCAATTCAAATCAATTTTTTAAAATCTCTTTTTTCTTTTCTGAAATTCCATTTTCTGAAAATCGCCCTTTTATTTGAAACTTGACCTAATACATACACATAAGTTTTGGTTATTTCATATTTTAATTACGTTCCTTACGACTACCAGGTATGTGCAATGTGATTAGCTTAAACTGTAAACAACACAGTTATGGCCCCTTAATTATTTGGTCTCTTCTTTACTTCTTTTAATAACTGTAGTTATAAAGAAATCATTCTGTTCACTCTTATTTCTTTTTATGTTGCTCACATATGAAATACTTGAAAGCTGATATGTTGCAGCTAAAGCAAAACCTGCTATTCTACAAAAAGTTCCACTCCTTACTCAAAAGAAATAAAAATACTTCTGAAAACTAGAATCAAAAGAAAGAGGAGAGAAGAGGTGTACATTTTAAATTTACATGTATATATAAGTAATTCAGAGTACAGAAACTATTTACGAATACAATAGAGTTCCCATACCAGTACAAAACCATGCATGTATAATTAACTTAAATAACTAGTACACATTGTATTTTTTATCATAACAATGAAAATATTTTCTTGGAAAATAACATGAAATAATGAACTCAATAAAAAAAATATATCTCCACTGCAGGTATAAGGCAATATAATATAACAGACTATTTTGGGTAAAAAGCAAGACAAAGTTATCTGTAGGTATATTAACAGGCACACAATTCAACCCTTGAACCTAGTGGTATGGAATTGTAAACAGTAGAAACCAAAATAGATAAGCCAGTGTCCAAACAGAAAATCAAAGAGGTGATGTCTATGTAGCCCATTACAATACATACCCTGTGGAGTAAATTCATCCCTATCTTACCTGAGAACTTTGAAGCTGAGCACTCAATGTCTTAATCTGCTCATCTAAGCTACTCTTCTCCCGCTTCAAATTCGCGACCTCATCTAAAGAATTCAAAGGAAAATTTACATTTGAACTTATAAAGACATAAATTAGTCAATAACTATTGACGTCTATTGCTAATTTATATATATCTAAACAATCAAGTTTAGCCACTGATAATTTGACCAGTCTTTTTGGAGAATTTAATATCCTAATTATTTTCATCTAATAATGACATTAATAAAATATTTGAAAATTAAACTTTGAAATACGCAAATTTTAGAGTAATAATAAGAATCCTCCTTGTTGTGACAACAAAGTTTCTTAGTCCTCTTTATTTACCTTTTAAATTGGAGATTTCTAGTTCCTTTTCCTGTTTGAGTCGTTCATATTCCTGTGTTCTCTGTAGATCCTGGGACTGGTGATCTTCCACTTCTTTATCTTTCTCCCTCTGTACCTTTGATACTTCAGCCTCAAGGTCCTGATGTTGTGCCTGAAGAAAATTATCAAAGGATCCATCAACCATTATATCAGAATTCAGATCAACTAGAGTCAGTATATTTATGAAGAATTTGTTATAATCTGAAATCCTGGTTGAGATTTTTTGCTTACATTTTTATATATTTTTAATCAGAGAAAAATTCATTGAGCAAAAGCAATTGTGTCTTTGACAAACTGAATCTATAGTGTATATAGTGTCTTTGACAAACTGAATCTTTAGTGTATAAAATACACAAGATAGGCTAGATTTCTCAGCTCTTCCCCTTTGCTGGCAAAAACTGTGTTATTACATAACAATCACTTGAGTTCCTTTCAACACTTGGAGATATCCATCCAAAATAGCCATTAAGTTTTACTGTGAATTCAAAACTTACCTGCAACATTTTATGCTGCTGTTGTAGAGAACTAAGTCTGTTTGCATACTCTCTCTGTAATGCAATAGAAAAAGATATAAAAAAAATCTACAGATTATGAGATTCTGTACAGTACATGTATGTGCAACCTCTGCAAAGAAAATGAACTGAATCTGCAAATAATTGGAATTTTTCTACGTCCAAGGGGCATACTCTACCAAATTGGAGCGTACAAAATATTTCTTTTAAACTGCTGATGTCAATTGTTGATTTCAATTGCGATGGAAACCAAAATTGTCATTGACTGAATGTAATGTCACAATAGAGAGGTGTAAATATTCAAGATTACGACACTTTTTGTGATCGAACAGCCATGGGTAGGAGAGAGCTATTTGCGGACTCCAGACCTTGGCTTAACACATTGAGGAAAGTTTGTATTTTATACTTCCCAAAATTCTTTTTGTAGTTGATCATACTAGAAGAGAAAAATCTATTTGCAAATTCATTAAATAAATGTTATCGAATTTGTTATAAGGATATGTACTGATACTGGACATAGCAGTGGAGACTGGTCCTTCAGATGAGACTGTATAAACCAATGTCCGTGTCACACTATGTATTGGCACAAAAAGATCCCTACTGCTCATCGGCCCTGAGTGCCAAGTATAGGTGTAAAATTTGCAGCTTTCCACCGGCAAGTGGTGGCGTCTCCATACAAGAGCGAAATTCTTGAGAAGGACGTTAAACAACAAACAAAAGGATATAGCCAAGAAAAGGTCTCCAGAACTTTGCTATGAATGAGTTTTACCTCATAATTTATGTTAACTTTATGAAATCTTTGGATCACACTAGTAATTCTTGATTTTCTTTTAGGTGAGTAGTTTTACACACCTTTTCTCTCTCATATGCCTGGCGATGATCTTCTGCCTCCGTTAGGGTGTCTGTAAAATAATGTAATACAATATTTATCTTAACTGTATTCAAGCAAGATTTCTATTCATAGGCTATTACCAAAAAACTAGATAAGGATAATACAGGTCATGACTGAATGATCAGAGTTTACAATAACAGGATGACTAATCACTGTTTACATCAAAATGAACATGGAATGAACAAGTTATTTACGATTTTATGACATCAAACTATTTCCACCACCAATGATTTCCAATATCTCTATACGTTATTAATGACAAATAACTTGAAATAAGCATTAAATTTCCTCAGAGGAAACATCAAATTAAAATCAAATGTGTGATGTGTTACAACTGACAGACTTTACTGCACTTTAAAATAACACTGAACAAATTTATTTAAAGTACAATTCATGTAAATATGAGGAAAGTACCCTAAGTTTATTTACCATGTTTACAGTTTGAAAGAAAAATTTTTGTTTCCGGAACTCAAAGAAAAGAAGAAAGCTTTTTTTAATAAATATAATTGGATTATAAAAACAAAACCCAAGCCTATTGTGGAATAATCATTGTTCTTGTTTGTGGATATTGTGGGTCACCCTAACCCTGGAAATAGTAAGCTAGATCTTTACTAAAAAAATAAAATTTTATTTATTGAATCTTCTTTGCATACAAGGTACACGAAAATTACAATTCCACAAAACAGTAAAATCTTGGTTGCCCATGAACAATTACCTGCCACATTTTAAATTTTAGATATGATTCCACATTAGTTAATAAATGCAATATAAATTTTGTGTAAATGAACAAAAAAAATGTGCATGGATACATTAAAAGCAGTTCAGGGGACAAGAGATTGGAGTGTTATATAAAGTACAGTAAACCACACTTTTAATGACCTACACTATACAATCCAAAAACATGTTTTGCTGAATTATAATGAAAAAAAAAACAATTTGCATTGGTAAAAACACCACAAACAAAGCTCACCTCAATAAAAGTAATTTATAAGTAATGAGGTAATATTCTCACACCAAATGAATAACAAATAAGATGCATTAGTTCGTTTTATCAATACAAGGTTTTAGTATACACAGAAAATACAGTACCCGAAGTTACATTCGGGTGGTATGCTTCTTTAACTAAATGCATCATCCATGCAAAGTGTCCAGATAGGACTAAAGGTTTCTATTTATTTGGAAAATGATCTTGTTTGTAACAACCTAAACCTGATCACTCATCCAGAAAATACAGGTAAAATACAACATCTTGTGCGAAATGAATACCCTGCAATTCACAACTGCAGTTTACAATGACTTTTATCAATGCAAGTTTGATTCTGGTGTAATGGTTTGGGTCGTGGATATCAACCTGGATAGCTCAGTCGGTAGAGCACCTGACTAATGATGCAGGGGTCCCAGGTTTGATGCCTGGTCCAGTCATACATTTACTCCTTTCCTGTTAGACTGGAAAGACTCACAGATACCTTCCCCCAAAAGGTTTTAAATGGTAATTCACGAAAATATAACTCAGGGTTTGAATCATTAGTCCCCAACTCTTCACACTGCTGAGGTGAGCTAACAGTCTGTGCTCTCCCTAAAGAGTTGCGATCACCATATTTTCCATAATATAGCCAAGTTATACACTATATTAAAAAAAAGAGGATTCTATATCTATATTTGCATGAAAAAAAAAACACAGGTACTTGTGGACAGGACCCCCCCCCCCCATTATACACCCCTGGTCAAATTTTTTTTTTTTTTCTCATGATTTATGTTTCTGGTAGGTATTTACAATGTATTCCATACAAAAAATCCAAAAAATAACATAGATTTAACGATTTACTAAATAAGTCATACCCCTTGTATTATAAAATAGAGAAGGTAAGTCACTTCGATTTGTTTACATCGGACCCCTCTTGAATATCGGGCCTAAAATATCATATACCTACTACATCATACATGTCACCAAAATGTGTCATGATATCTTGTTTCAGTAGATATTTTTGTCTTTCATTGTGTTATTTAATTGCCCCAATAATCTGAGTATTCAGCATCAAATGTGAAAATGCTCCAAAATTTGGAAATGTCAAACCAGGAATTACGGAATTGATGCAAAAACGACACCTAGCGGGTAACTGTCGAGTTCTGAGTGTCATAGAATTAAGGGAAAAGCCAGAGGACTACGAAAAAGTTCGGGAAAATCTTGATAAAAGAATTTGAAATTGATTCATTAGAAAGGGGGGGTCCTGTCCACAAGTACCTGTGGAAAAAAAGGTATTAATCCCCACAACCACTACATACCTTGTAAATGTGACTTCATGACTTAATTAAAACATGCAATCATTATGAAGGTAAAATATTTTACAGCATAAAAACAAAATACAGAAAAAAACAAAACAAAAATTAAGATGCACACTGGCCACAATGATACATTATCCTCTGAAAGGATGAGATAGTAGATACTAGATATAACCATTGAAAATATTCATGGAAGACATGCTACAATGGTATAATAACAGTTAACTGTGTTCCTGAAGGGATTAACTATATCAAGGGAAAGAAACAATGTTTCTCTTAATAATTAAATGCTGCAGCTACCGATCATCTACACATGCTAAAATAATTTCAAAAAAATGTGCATTTCTTTATTTTTCTTCCTTTGTGTATTTGTTAGCTGCAATCAGATTAAAATCAGGCCTCGGATCATGAACCATCTTAAACACCCAATTTTATGTTAACGCCCCCAAAATCTACCTGATTCAAGATCAATAATTTACCGCCTGTCAATCATTAAAAAAACAATAGCTTCTGATTTGATTGACAGGCCAGCTACCCGTGCTACCTAATAGTCTGAGTTTGTGTCCTTTGAAAACGATTGCCTGGTCACGCGTCAAACACTTTCATGTAGCCGCCTTGTATACACGGAGGTTAAAAAAGAATCCTGGTAAAATTTTATTTTAAAAACATTTGAGAGTAGATAATTAAAACATGACTTCATAAAATATTTATGGTCCAAGATATCTGCTGTAGAATGTAGACCAGTCCATGCACAGGAACGCTATTTGCAAATTAAAATTGGAATATGATAAATAAGAAAAGATATTTAGCACAAACGGCATGGATGAAAAAAATATCTCATGTTTTATCTACGTATATATGAATACAATCTATACCATGTTCCGTTGTAAAGTTCTGAAATGTCAGAAACAGCTAGGAGTTTCGAGATTGTAACTTTTAGTTCGAATTTCCTAACACCTGTCAATACCCAATATTCGAAATTAAAAAGTGAATAAATACAGCCAAAGATCAATTCTTAAAAATATAAAAGAAATCTTGCTAACAATAAAAAAAATTTAAACACACGAACACCCGGAAATGGTGAATATTTTTGACACTATTGTTGATCAGAACGTAGGCAATATTCCTATCGCGGTACGGTATATTGTATACGTTCACACGACGGATAGGCCTACCTTATAATGAATGGAATATTATATTATTTTTTTTTTAATTTTTGATAATTACACAAGTTTAATTAAAAAAAATATATGTTTACTTTGTAGTTTTACTCTGTGTTCTTTTCTTTAATTTGTCTTTCCTTTTTAATTAAAAAAAAAAACGATATTTCTTTATACTTTTTTTCTTCATTAGATATCGCCTAAAGTATTTATAAATAAATTTTATATTGAAATATTTCAATTATTTCAAGTAGTTTTACTCAAATTTAGACACGAAACATGGAATGTTGACCTTGATCACCAGACACAGACTTCCTGTGTAATGCTACGTGTATACAGATTTTTGACATCTTGGGTATTGGGGGTCTCCAGGTAAATAACACCACTGTTACTTGGACCACTCCCCCTCCTCAGGTAACCGTACGGTAAAAAAATTGGGTCTTTAAGCTTAAGTCAAAATCTTCATTTTGTACTAAAATCTTGATTATAAAGTCAAGCAGACAAAAATTGAAGTATTTGTCAATATTGCTTCACACAAGTGTTGTTATCTGCAAATTTAGATATACATTCAATAATTAAATAAACATTTTACAGGCGATTGAAAATTTGACTTAAGTCCAAGTTTGTTTCCTGATCCCGGGGCTGATCTTTGTTACACTCCGAAATTCTGATGGTCACTGTACTGTAACGGTCCAGAGATTTGACAGATTAGCTTTATACAGAGTTATTGAACCTGATTATTGTTGACATTGTAGGAGAGTTAAGATAAATTTGTATATGTGTTATAATTATTTGATATTGCAGGAATATGTACTGATTTATGCTTTGCATGTAGTTGATAGGTGATTATTGACAAGTTTAAGTGATTTACATGAGTTGAAATAGTTTGTGCACATGTTTTGAGTTACGTAGAAATCAGCTGATCATAGCAGTAGTAAAGTTGTGGTATTATTTTAGCTTACTTCATGTTTCAGGGACTTTGATTGGTCTTCTGTGGTGGATGAACCATGGATTTATGGATGAAATCATGTTTTCTTGAAGTTTAACTTGTTTTCAGTTAATTATCGGCAGTTTATATAGACTGGTAGATTTGTTTACGAACTTGGCGGTCGTAAATTGTGTAGGTCGAGCCCGATCGTAAAAGTTACGATAGTTTTCGGATTTTTGGAGTTAATTGTGTTATTTGTTGATTTAAATGGAGATTAATTTACTTATTCTAATTGAAGAATGTATTTAGAGATTACTTTCATTCAGAAAAGTTGTCTTGTATGTAGTTATTAGATTTTTCTATAGACTTTGCTGTTTACGGGAAATGTCGCGAGAGATTCTCCAACGTTTTCCAATGAGTCCAACAGTTTCCAACATTTACGTCATGTTATGGTATAAAAGAGAGAGATTCAAGGAATTTTTGCTCTTCTGCTAGGTTGATTCATTTAGAGAAGAAGTGTTTTAGGGGTAAGGAGTTAGTATGGGTTGGGCGTTTTGAATTTAAATTTAATAATGACTTTTTAGTTTTATTTTAAGAAGAGCCAGGGTTATTTTAAGGATTTTTAGGAACTTTTGGAATATTTGTGGAATTTTATAGGAAGTTTTGGTCAGGTTTTAGTGAATTTTAGCTGAGAATTGGACTTGGTTAAAATTTGCTGGTTGTTTGAATTTTTGGTAAATTGTTGTTAAATTTTAGAATTACTTGAAATTGTTCAGATAATTTATACATTTCGCTAAGGAAGCTAGTGTATTTCTAAATTTTGGTACTGTTTTTAACTGAAATTCAGACTTAGGAAATTTGCAGGAATTACTGGTGTTTGAAATTTGTTAGGAATTAATTAGGTTTAAGGGATTAAGTTTTAGTTATTGGTTTTTATTTTCATCCAGGAGGTCTGGAAGGAAGTTCTGAGAATTAGGAGTTTTGTGAGTTGTATTGAGGTTGATTTTAGGTAAGTCAGGACTAATAGGTGACACAGACAGACTGAGACAGAGCTTAGAATTTGTTTGTTGATTGTTCATTTAAGAGATAATTCTTGTAATAAATTGTAAAACTGTATTTTGTCTCATTTCAAGTACAGAGATTTACAAGGTTTTATCAAAGTGTGATTTTCCAACAAGATGGAAATTGTGGGATATAAGAGTATAAGAACTGAGTAATGATAATTTAAGAATTTTAGTGACTTCCGTAGGTCTAAGTTGTAATGAGCTTGACAAATAGAGAAGAAAAAACTGAGAGATTTCGTGTATTTATAAATTTAGTGTAACTTAGAGAGCGCGGGTTAATAACAGGAGGTTTAGGTTTTGGGCAGTGGGGTATTATCTGAGTTCATTGATTAAAGGGAGATAATTTATAGTGTTGTGATATAAGATTTAAAGAGTATTGAGTTTTGAACCACTGTGCCATACTAGCCCTCCTGAGCTCGGGTTGAGCTGTGTAACGCAAGCCTTGCCACGAAAGATAAGACAACCCCTATAGAAAGAGTGAGGAAGTGCGGTCCCAGCAGTAGTAGTAGGAGAGGTGCCGTCCGCCTGCCCCCACCCCCGTTACAGTACAAACAGCGACCATCAGCATTTAGGAGCATAACAATGATCTGATTTTAATCAGATTGTATTAGATGCAGCTCTCTGATCTGAAAAAAATTGGGATGGAGAACCAGAGGGCTACAGTAAAACTCATTGAAAAAAGTGTAGCGAGTTCAGCTTGGCGTGGCTCGTCACTGCATGCTCTAACGATAATGCCTGCGCAAAAAAAAATTCAGACTACTGCACATTCATTCAGTAGAATTTTTTCATCAGTAACTTTGGACCCACAATGCATCGCTTGTTAAAAATATGTTCTTGTGAGAATTGATAACAACAAAAAATAATTCGCCTTGATTTAATGGACAACTTGCAGATAAATAGTAAATAAAACGTTCTTCACTAAATTCAGCACTCTTCAGGCTTCAGTTTGGTAATGCAACTTACAAACGACATCACGTGACGTCAGAGTTTATATGTCAAATGTCAAATGCAGTTTGACGAGCCAAAATCTTAAACTGAATAGGTATCTGCGCTCGCCCTAACTGTAGCACCCTCAACATATTCAAAAAAATTTCAAGTAGCAATTATGCTATTTTTCTTAATTATGGCAAGCGGTATATCTAGTCTTCCCGACTCCCGACGCCCGACTCCCGACGGTCCCGGATTTGGGATTTTTAGCGATTTCTTTTTTACCGGTGCACAGATTTTATTCAAACTTTACAGGCACATTTTCTGGGTTTATATGAATTCATTAATGCATAAAAATTTTAGGAAACTTGTCTTTTTATTACTGAATCAGCAGTATCACCTGCCAAAAAGTGGTAAATCTAGTACTCTGTTATAAATGTTAAAACCAAAAACGGACACCGATGTTTTCGTAAAATCGCGATTAAAACAACAAAATGAAGAATATATTTTTTTAACAAATAACTGGAAAACCTCATTTAAATGCTAAATAATTTGTACGCACTGAAACTCATATTTTATTTTTGTACGCACTGAAACTCACATATTTTACTTTTTTAATTAAGAGTTATGCTTATAAATTATCGATACATAGCGATGAGCGGAGACGTGAGGTTTCGTAGATCATAATACTGATATTATTTGGGAAGATATTTCTTCTTTTAAAAAGATGGAATTAGTGTTTCAGTGAAATTGAAGGTGTTAGAAAAGTATGAACAATTTAATTTCACAGATTCCAGCATCAAAAGGACTTTTAAAGTCGGGTTCCTTTTAAACCTGTTAATGAAGAAGATAATCACTTATTATAAAAGCTTTATCAAAGCAGTGTTAGCTTGGGTAAAATAATTAATTTCCTAATCACTTGGCTGATACAATGAAAGTGGAGAGATATATTCTGTCAAATTAAAAAAAAGTAATTATGTATTGTAAACTGCTTCTAAATCAAAGCTATTAGTATTAACCATGACTTGTTAACATAACATGTAACCGGGGACAAACCATGGTCCTTAAAATATTACTGGTAATCTGAAAACGATTTTGTCATTGTGTAGGTTTTCATACGATAAGTGGAATTTAGAGTTAACTGAAAATCAGTCAACAAAAAGTAAAGTCAAATGAAAACAAATTAATTAATAAAGGGGGGGGGGCTCCGACGTATATATGTCAATGTCGTACGTAGAGCCTGTGAACATAATGTGGCAATGGACGATTTATACACGGAAAAAAAGAAATTATATGGGTGTTTTTATGCGTACAAATTATGTGGTATGTAAATGAGGTTTTCCGCTTATTTGTTGAAAAAATTATTATTCATTTTGTTGTTTTTAATCGTGATTCTACAAAAACATCGGTGTCCGTTTTTGGTTTTAACATTTATAACAGAGTACTAGATTTACCGCTTTTTGGCAGGTGAAACATCTGGTTCAGTAATAAAAAGACAAGTTACCTAAAGTTTTTATGCACTAATGAATTCATATAAACCCAGAAAATGTGCCTGAAAAGTTTGAATAAAATCTGTGCGCCGGTAAAAAAGAAATCGCTAAAAATCCCAAATCCGGGACCGTCGGGAGTCGGGCGTCGGGAGTCGGGAAGACTAGATATACCGCTTGCCCTTAATTATACTTCTTTAAGTAAAATTTGACAAACAATTTGACAAGTAAATCAAGAATGGCTATACTACAGTAACACTCTAGTTGACTAGCCTCTATTTTAATACAAACTTCTATGAAGCTAGTTCTAACCTTGTAGCTTGTTGGAAAGTTTTTCTTGTTCTTTTCGGACCCTTTCTCCCACTAGCCTGGAGTTTTCGAGTTTCTCACGGGTTTCATGGTATTTATACATTGTATACAGCCATCCCAGCAAAATGAGAACTATGGCAACAGTTTTAATGGCCCCCGAATTTCGTGTCATTGTTGTATTTGTGGATGCAAACATTTACAACAAAAAGTCAACCTGTCATCAAATAGAACTAGGGTGACACGTTTCCTCCTGTCTGCATCAAAACAAATATGGCGTCGTGTCAACTGAATTGTGGGAACAGGTTTACCTGTCTAAAAGGTAGAAATAAAGGTTGTAGTCTCGTTCAACCAGACACTCGGCTGTCTCCGTAAATCTCCGACCAGCCAGAGGGTCTGGTAAAGATACGTGATATCGTTTGTAACGCCAAAACGAGGCTTACCAAAATTCTGGTAAAGTTTTTGATTGGCTGAAAAGAACACACCTCCACAATTTAAACAAATACATGGTAAATCGACAGAAAAATAACTTAAAGTTTTAAAAGTTGAATGTCTAAAAGTTAAAGCAGATAAAGAGGAATGATTTTATTGTTTACGGTAATGTCAATGGGTTATAGGTAAGTGTGTTTTATAAAATGTCTTGCATGTTTTATATTTCCGGAAGCTAAAGTGAAAGTAGTGTAGCTACCTGCGGAATACATATTTCCTCTATTGATATTGTAATTACTCGTTTTATGTACAAATTTAAAGATTAGTTTATTAATATAAACTCACAATCTATCAGAATAAACATGTTAAATATTCGTTTCAAAAAAAGGTCATCAAAATGTAAACACGATAGCGCCCTCTGACGGTAACAAACGCTAATGTGACTCTTTACCAGACTCTCTGCTGGTCGGAGTTTACGGAGACAGCCGAGCGTCTGGTTGAACGAGACTATAAAGGTTGGAGATGTAAAATTGAATTATGCATAGATAAATGCAAACCTCACATTACAAATATTGGTAATTTATGGATAATGAAGACCTACATGACTGTTGGAAACTCGCACCAGTTAGGAAAAAAAAAATGTTTCGACAAATCAACTCGTACACTAACACACTCCGATTGAAGAAATCAATACAAAAAGTATTCGTATGAATTGTTGTATTTTAAAGACCGCATGAGCAGACAAGAATTTTGAAAATATATACACGTTATATAATGATCCCATTTTTTTCACATGTTCAGAATCATAGATTATTTTAGGCACGTTCTGGTTCACATAGCTCATCATGTTTGTGAGTGTCTGTGTTTGGAGCAGGGGGGGGGGGTATACATGTACATGACCCGGCCCCCCTCCATTCTATTTTTTTTTTCATCTTGATTGTTAGGCTTGAAGAGCATGAAGAGGGGGAGGGGGTGAAGTAAGATAAGTTAATTTCAACCATGAACTTTCCTTACTTACTTATAGCGATTAACCTGAATATCTTGTTAACTTCTTCTAAAAATTATACTCAAATAGGAGTAGCCATGAGAATTATCTTTAGAGGCACGCCAGTGACATAAAAGTTGACGTCACAGGGGTTTCAATAACCTCATTTCGTATACCGGTATTAATATAATAGTATAATATAGTTTTATGCTATAAGCAATCATTGGGTGGTATGTTGACCGACGTTACAAATATCCATTGTTTAGTCTTTGTTTAATTATACTTAATCGAAGTCCTACGGAATGGTCCACGCACGGGTACGTCTACCTCTTCAATACATCTATAGGTTTGACGACAGCTGTGATCGGTCAGCAGACAGAGAATGCTTATTCCGCCTCTGAAAGGTATTTTTTGTATGAATTTCTTGGATCAATCACTCTTCGTACTTATTTTCACCTTTTTCATTATGACAGAAAAAAGGGAGAACATTTTTTTTTTATATTTTGGCAAAGGCTGGTATTTTTCACTCTAATGAAGCAATTTATTACCTTAATGCCCAAATTAAATTGCTTACACAAAACCTTTATATAAAACAAAAGCTCTGTTATTTAAAAAGGATGAAGTGTTAATATCTGTTACATTTTACAGTTTGTAGCCGTATATAGGAACCGAGGGAGAGGTGGTGGTGGTGTGCTCCAAAGAATTTCGCAGATACGCATACACATGATAGATGTACATATAGTATACTGTAGAAATAAACACTTTTTTATTACGTCCAATGACTTTCTTTTCCTTTGCTCGTCAAGGATAATTGCTTGCGGAGTGTCCCCTCCAAACTGCCCTCCCCCCTTCTTGCTGGCAATTTTGTGACTTTGGCGTGTCATACAATGGCACCCATTCAGAATGAACTTTTATGAAACTTATTTTAAAAAATACAACAAGTTAAAGAATTTATAATGAAAACATGTAATGCATTACCCCGGAATATAATCTGGACACGAGGTCGAATTTGACTCCAAACATACCTTGTTCTTTCAAATCTACATTTGCAGCCTTATAAATTCGTGAAAAGGTTTGAATATGGTTGAGTCATATAGCGTTTGTCACACGTACGTGCCCGTCTTCAACTTCATCAACATTTTTAAGCCCTAGTAATCGAAGATCCGGGGGTATAGTTTTTGTCGTGTCCGTCTGTCTGTCTGTTTGTCCGCAAAAACTTTAACCTTGTCCATAACTTTTGATTTAGTGGAGCTATGACTTTCATATTTCACATGTGTATTCCTTATGACAAGACCTTTCTTTGGAAACAGCAAAATTTAACCTTTTGGCCTTGACCCTGGAGTTTGAACCAATTTTCCACAAAAATCTCAAACTTTTACTTTGGCCATAACTTTTGAACGGTAGGTACTAGGACTTTCATATTTCAAACATGTATTCTTTGCGGCAAGACCTTTCATTACCAACAACTTTAAACCTTTTGACCATGAAATTGGAGATTTCCGTACTCATGAAAAATTCTCTAACCTTGGCCATAACTTTTGAACGGTAAGAGCTAGGGCTTTCATACTTCACATTTTTAATCCTTTGACCCTTTGGCCTTGACCTTGGAATATGACCTACTTTTGAAAAACAAATCTTGACTATAACGTTTGAAGGACTAGGGCTTTCATACTTCACATATTTAATTCTTGTGAGAAGACCTTTCATTGGATATCAAGAACTTTGACCATTTGACCTTCGAGTTTGACCTACTTTTTAAAAAAAACTTTAACCTTGGCCATAACTTTTGAACGGTTAGGGCTAAGGCTTTCATACTTCAAATATGTAATTTGACCCTTGCTAAAATGTTCTTTAATTAGTGTTTAGCTCAGTTTCAGAGAATCTGTTCTAGTTATTTTCATTGAACTTTATACGCTGATATTTATATTTTAATATTCACATCTGTTGAATATAAAATCTTTTTCATGCCCCCGTAGACGAAGTTTCGGGGGGGGGGTAAATAGGTTTTGTCCTGTCCGTCCATCTGTCTGTGCATCCGCAAAAAACTTTTGAGTGGGTGGGGTATAGCTGTCATTTTTCTCATGTGTATTCTTTAATTGTGACGAGACCTTTCTTTGGGTACCATCAAATTTAACCTCTTGACCTTGGCGTTTGACCTACTTAAAAAAATATACAAAACTTTAACCATGGCCATAACTTTTAAACAGTTGGTGCTAGGGCTTTCATATTTTTCGTATTTCGTATTTTTATGCCCCCGTAAACGAAGTTTGGTGGTATATATTTTTTGCCCTGTCCATCCGTCTGTCCGCAAAAACTTTAACCTAGCCCATAAGTTTTGAGTGGGTGGGGCTATGCTTTCATATTTCACAAATGTATTCCTTGTTATAAGACCTTTCTTTGGATACCACAAAATTTGACCTCTTGACCTTGAAATTTGACCTACTTTTACACAAAAAGTCCAAACTTTTACTTTGGCCATAACTTTTGAACAGTTAATACTAGGACTTTCATATTTCACAAATGTATTTTTTGTGACAAGACCTTTCCTTAGACAACAACTTTGATATTTAGACCTTGACGATTGACTTACTTCTAAAAAAGTTTAACCTTGGCCTCAACTTTTGAAAGGTAAAGGCTAGGGCTTTCATATTTCACATATGTAATACTTGTGACATGATTTTTGATTGGATACCAACAACATTGACCCTTTAACCTTGACCTTGGAGTTTAACCTACTTTTAAAATACTAGACCTTTCATTGGATACATTGACCCTTTGACCTTGGAGTTTGACGTACCTTTTAAAAACTTTAACCTTACCCATAACTATTGAACCTTAATGGATAAGGCTTTCATACTTCACATATGCAATATTAATGACAAGACCTTTCACTGGATAGCAATAACATTGACCTTTTGACCTTCATTTGACCTACTTTTTAAAAACTTTAACCTTGGCAATGACTTTTGAACGGTTATGGCAAGGGCTTTCGTACTTTCCATATGTAATCTTTGTGACAAGACCTTTCTATAGAAACTAACAATCTTGACACTTTGACCTTGACGCCGAGTTTTGCCTACCTTTAAAAAACATTAACCTCGTTAACATTTGATTTGCTTTTTAGAAAATTTAACCTTCGCTATATGCCATACAGGGGCATCAGTGTTTCACAAACACATTTTTTTTTAAATACATGTATAAAGTCCAAGACATTCAAAATGCTCATGATCAGTTCTCACTTTATGGTCTTTGTGCCAGCTGGCAACAGTTATGTAATGGAAACAACAAAAACAACATGCTGTTAAATTCAATTTATGATATACTTTATCATTTAAATACTCATATGCATAATACTGGAAAAATAAAACATAAATATGAAATCAACATACATGTAGACTGAAATAAATGAATTTTTGAAAAAAAAGGCATGTACATAAATATTTATGAAATATTTCAAAACATTTTGATGTACATATATAATTCTACATTTTCTGTGATTTTGATTAAAAAGAATTTTGAATACAAATTTAATCGGAAATTCATAACGACATTTCAAATGAAATTAAACAATAATAAAAAAAAAATTAAAGGGGGGAGGGGTTGAAGTTTAAAAAGATACAACTCATTATATTTAATTTTACAATAAAATCTGATGCTGACAGTTGAAATAAGCCAGATGACAAAACAAGTGGCCAAAGGATGGCTGATAACATTTTCATACTCACATATTCTAAGATTTGAGGGTAAATAATTAAATCTTACCCTGTTTGTCCACAAAAACTTTAACCTTGCTTATAACTTTTTCCAAGGTGGTGCTATGGCTTTCATACTTGATACTTCACAAGTGCATTCCTTTGACCTTTCTTTATGTACAGTACCACCAATTTTGACCTTGTAACTTTGACTTTGACCCACTTTTACCAAAAATTTCCAACTTTTGAATAATTGGTGCTAAGCTATCATTCTTCATATGTATTCACTGTGACAAGACCTTTCAATGGGTATAAAATATATGACCTTGACCTAAGAGTTCTAGCCACTTTTAAAAAAACTTATCTTTGACCATATCTTTTAAACTGTTAGTACCAAGGCTTTCATATTTCATAGGTGTATTCCTTGTGATGAGATTTTCCTTTGGATACGACAAGTTGGACTTTTTAACATTGACCATGGAGTTTGACTTGCATTTGAGAAACTTCAACCCTCGTCATAAGCTGCCATATGGGGGCATCAGTGTTTCCCAAACACATCTTGTTCTGGCTGCTGTTTTGTTCCATTCTCTTTGAATTTAGAAATTAATAAGAATCTAACAAAAAAATTTCAAATCAGACCTATTCTTTGAATAACAGGTCACAAAGTGGACCATGATTATACTGTTGCCTTCTACAATAAAGACCAAGTGTACCCATAATTCATTTCCTATATTCTTGTGATGAGTGCATTAACAGAGAAAATATCAAGCATCAAAAATCTGCTGGGAGGTTATGTAGCTAGTCATTGAGTATTTAAGATGATATATTTGAATAACAAATGATGTCATAAATATGTGTAATTTGTAACATAAACAACTTTAATATTGAACTAGACAGGAGTTACCTGGGTGAAAAAAAAATTATGGCAGATTATATCTATCAAAGTGATTTACTAGGTAAGCATAATTAAATTACCATTTCCTTTTATATTTTTAGCTAAGGTATCCAGACACCTTTATTATTCAAACAAACTTGTTACATCGGGCACTGAGATGTAGATAAGAATATGTTCAAGCATCTTTTATTTTATAATTGCAAATTTGTAAGGATTTCCCCATACTGTAAACCAACTTTTATTCGCGTGCGAGAAATTTTCGCGAGGGCCTAGTCACCGCGAATATTTCTCGCCGAGAACCGATCCTTAAGGTCTCCGTGTCTATTAACAACTGATCCAAAAAAGGCTTGATCGCGAAAATTAATCGTCGCGAACTAGTTTACCCTCGATAAATCGTGAAATAAAGTCGTCGCGAATAAAAGTTGGTTTACAGTATATTCCTTCCATATACGCTAAAAACTGTCTGAAGAAAATCCAACACTTTGACCTATAATTAAAATGGTGGCCAATGAAATAAATGAAAACACAATTCAGTTAAGAGAGACTGATGGGCTGGAATGCTGATTTTGTTCAGAAAAACTTAAGCCTTTGGCTCAAGTGAGTGAAAATTTACCCAAGTTTGATGCAGTTAAAGATATATTGATGATAGGATGGTACAGATTCAACTGAAGTAGTTATGTAAATGCATTATAAAATCTCCTAGAATCCTATACATGTACTAAATTATCAATACTGTGGAATTATCACTTGTGGGGGACTATTATTTGTGGATTCCATGGGTCACTCTTAATACCAACACATTTACAATGTACAGTTTTGTCAGTGTTTTGATTTATTGAATCCTCTGTGTAGAAAAGTTACCCACATGAGTTCAATCCAAAGAACCAATAAAATGTTGCTTATCCATAAACACTCATTGACACCCCCATCCCCCCGCAATTAAAATGATTCCAAGATACTTGTGATTATTAGTAATTTAAAGTTTTAAAAATATCTTTATACATATTTCAGAATATCCATTTTTTTAAATAGTAGAATTTGAGAAAAAAGGTGGTAAATAACTCCCCACACACATCATCTTATTGCATTATGAAAGCCAATGTTGGAATATAATGAAATGGAAAGGAAATATTCCTTCCTTTATTCGGAAAGTGTTCGGCTATTCCAGAAATGGGCTGTTCTGAAAAAATTTCCCAAGACAACTTAGGGCCCACAGTGTTTTGATGCAAAACAAAACTTCTCCTGAAAATACATGAAAATTTATCAGATTGGCTACCAAACTATCTCTAAAACTCTATTACTAGAAAAAAGATACTAGGATCAATAGAAACATATAGATAAAATCAATGTTACACTTACTTGGTATTTATTAAACGAGTTTCAACTACGTATCCCTGATATCTTTAGTTACCAAGACTTTTATGAAATAAATTGAAGAGAGAGTCATTTTTCTAACATACGCTGTATTTTGACCATATTTTCAAATTATGCTGCATCAAAATAATCTTAAAACCTACAGTAACAGATCATATCACCTCAAATATGGGTCAAGTTGGACAGTTTTATTAAATTAATAATGCCAGTAAAATTGCACCTACAGATTACTTGTATGATTTATTCATTCTACTGGAAATTGTATCAAATACATTCCTTCAGGATTCTTTTTCATTCAACATTTAAGTCAGCCTTAATTAAAACATTCTATAATGTACATTTACAAATATGGCAAAATTCATGAAATTAAAAATAAACAATGTATATATTGCACCAATTCATATTGTAAATAGTAATGAACATTATAAGGTTCTTTGGTCCTCAATAAAAAAAAAATTAAAACACATACATTAATACATATGTCTTTACATTCCTACATTAATGGAACTAAACAAGGTAGATTGCTAAACAAAGAAACCTTGATTTAAAAAAATATGTTCCCTAAATTGCATAATTTTTAAGTGATGCCAAAAATTATGCAGGGCATAAATGTGGACCAATATAAAGCATATAAGCAAATTGTCACTAAACAAAATTTGACAGTTACAGTGTAACTATCAATATACTACACTTAAACATTTCAGTCACACTTCAAATATACACTTAATCATGCATGCCAAATAATTGTAAAATAGAAATCTCTTGGCACAGGTTTTACATTTAGTCAAGCAGATGGATGGTGTATTGGGGGTGATGCTTGATGAAATGCTGGAAGGTAATGGGTTGATGCTATGGAATTCTGGGTAGTCTCCCTCGTGGACCAGGTCTGGATCTCGACAATGTTTTCTTTATAGAGCACCCAATCTGAGTACCATTCTGAGGTATCATCACCTCTTACTGTAATAATGTACATTCCATGGAATATCACCTCTCCTGGATGAAGAAGGAGCTAAAATAAAACAGATATGTCCAATGACTTATTGAGATATCCTTTTACTAATGTCAGGAGTCCCACCCAAGTGAACACATTTCTGTTGGATAACGTGTTGACTCAATCAGGACCTCTGGCATTGTGAGGATGATATTAGAAAGAATTCTAATGATTTGCATTCAAAATATTTGTACATATATAAATACATGTACAGTGATGGAAATGAGGGCAAAAATTACTAAAACAAACCTAAAAAAAATAATGCTCTTATTCGTAAGAAAATTAAAATAAAATATTCAAAGAATTAAATGTACACTAATAACTATCAATAATTTGTATTTTTCAATTGTCAGCGATAAACTATGTATACATACAATGGTCATTATAGAGATGTTGTAAAATTTGACCTTGAATTTGGACAAAGCCATTAAAGCACATATATTTTGCATTCTTTAAATATTATTTTAAATTGACTTTGTTGATGTTGTGTCAACATCTGTTATGCAAGATCAGTTTAACTGAGAACAAAAGATGTTTGTAAAACACTTATGCCCCTCCCCTAAATTATTGGAATTTTTCGAAGTCCAAGGGGCATAACTCTGTCAAAAATGGTCCAATTGTACCCAAAACAAATCTTGACCAGGATATTCTTATGATAAATCTGTATATCAAATTTCATTTCAATATGTGCAACCTCTGCAATGAAAATGAAGGAAACTGATGGTGGACCGACCAGCAGACAGCAGCAAAGCAATATGTCCTCCCTTCTTTGAAGGAGGACATAAAAAAGTGTTATATATATAGAGCTCATTTTATTAAAAACTCTCCAAGCTAATTATAAAAATGTTGCTAAAAATGGTTAATTTGTCCTTGTGTAAAACGAGAGTGACAAAATTTGAGTCAGGGTTAAGGTCAAATGCTGTCTTAATCTAAAAATATGCTCTTTTTGAGGGGATGCTCCATTTTGCAGTGCCTTTGTTAACTAAATACCTCTTGTAGTAGTGAAACAAAAAATATCAAATACAGTTTGCATTTTTTTTTGGACAAAATTAACCCTCAATTTTTACTGGAGAATGGACACAAAAAGACCTGAGTTCATGCATATTGTTTCTGGAAATATAGTAAATATGAGTGAAAAAATTGGCCAAGGAAAATTACAAATATTTTACCTTTAAGTACTGGTAATTTCATATTAAAGAGATATTGCATGCAAATAATCATAATTATGTATTAAATTTCATTATGAAATGCATATTCTAAACACATTAGATTTTTTTCATGAATCAAAATGTTCTATTTTGCATAAATATTTTATTTCTCCTCTAATGATTAAAACATTACCATAGGCCACTTCTCTAAACAATTAACTTGCTACTATAACCCCCATCCTCTAAATATTAAATCCTTTTGCATAAATTTGTGGGTTTTTCCAAACTAAATTCATCATTTTTAATCTAAAACATACTGATGAAATCTATAGCTAGCAAACTTTGATATGAAAAAAATATCCTGAGGTTACATATATCAAATGCAAGTTAACAATCATTGTTAAATAAAGCGTAATTAAATCACGATTAACTTCAAGAAAAGAAAAACGGATGCATTCTCAGACAAAAATAAATGGAAGCAACCAAATACAAATTAAATGAAGCATTTTTAGTGTTAACAAGCCACATACTGTGACCTACCCTTCTCCTCTAATCATCATCAAGTTCAAGGTCAGATAAGTGAGTGACTGAACAAAGAAATATCACAACTGTAGATCAACTTCTTACAGATTAAGACATTTTTAATCTTGTATATACAAGCTTAACTGTACCAAAAAAAAAGTTTTTTTGTCTTAATATATAGCAGTGGACCTTTATACATTTGTCGAATAAAATTTAAATCCACAGTTTAACCAAATGACCTAAATTTGAATCCTCACCTGTGATGTACTGACACCTTGACCCAGTAAATCCGTTCCGACACACACATGCTCCTGACACTGGGTCACAGAAGCCTTGATTATCACAGTTACAGAAAAATTCACAATTGGGGCCATATTTCCCTTGTTTGCACACTGAAATAGACAAAATTTTCATCAATTTTCTTAATGCATTAATATGGAAATTGAAAGCTTGACCCTGCATCTTTATCAAATAAGGGTTCATTTGGCTACCTGGAAAAGCAATACTGGTAGACATTTTGATTTTATTAAGTTTTATAGTGTATTTCTAATATTCAATAAGAGGAATCTCTGTTTGGTCTTATAAGCTCAATAGATTATCTATAACTTCAGTAAACCATCAAAATACTAGTTTAAAATACAAATGTCTAAAGAATTCTTCATTTTGAATTTGTCTATCACAGTGAAAAAGAAACCCAAGCTTACTGTTTGTGCAGTTAGCCCCCTTTAATCCTGCAGGACAGAAGCATTCCCCTGTCACATGATCACAGTGGGCGGAGCCACACTGACACTCCTCCTTACACAGAAATCCATAATAACCTCTTGAGCACACTGAAAATATAAGGAGGAATGTAACATTTTATTTATCATCAATGCTTTTTTCTAAAATAAGTTTTTATTACGGTATGACAATGGGTTTTACACACACTTTAATCAAATGTGAACTGCATGTTCGGTTTAACACATTTAAATTACTGTGTGAAATCTCCCTTGTAATTAGGTGAACATGGACTAAACTTTTTAAAAACTACCTTTCATTGCAAATAACAATGGATGTTAGATAGTTAATTTGTTTAATCATTCTTTCTGTAACAATCTATACATTTCACTGCCCATTGACTGGCATTACTATATGTTTACATTACTGTGTCTGCCCATGGACATTGTAATGTTCACAGGTTTACACTGCCCGTGGACATTGTAATGTTTACTTACTGTGTTGACAGTTCTCTCCCTTGTAACCTGGTTTACATTTACACTGCCCATGGACTGGGTTACATTTAGCACCATTTTTACAGCTGCATGTCTCTCTACAGTACAGACCATATGTTCCCTTTGGACAGTCTGAAAGTCAAACATTTATCACATAATATCCTTCTGTACATGTTTTTAAAAAAAGAATATTAACAATTTTTTAATGCCTTACTGAACCTTTATATCTCAAGTTCAGAAATAATGAATATAACTGTTTCTGGCTTACTGAATTCGCAGCTTTGACCGTAGAACCCAGGGAGGCAGCTACAACAGCCACTGACGGGATCACATGACCCATTATTCTGACACACACACGAGTGGACACAGGCTGGACCAAACTTCCCGGGGGGACAAAGCTGGTCACAAGTGTCCCCCATCCAGCCAAGGTCACAGTGACACTGACCGGTCAAATGATCACAGCGTCCATTAACACTACAGTTACACACACCACTGCAGTTCATACCAAATCTATTATCCTCACACTCTGAAATTACAATCACTGGCTTCAACTTCATGCATCTCAAAGAAATCAAATACCAATAAATGTGAATTATTTTATCCCAATTCAACATAGCTTCCTGTATAAAATTTTATGACATCCAAAGACTTACTGAACTGACACCTATCTCCATGGTAACCAGGCAGACATATACACTGCCCACTCTCTGAATCACAAGTGGCCTCGTTCCTACATTTACAGACGTGTTTACAGCCCTGACCTGTGTACCCCCGGGGGCAGGGCTGGGCACAGGAGGGTCCTATGTACCCCACAGGACACAAACAAGCTCCTGTTCTGGAGTCACAGGTGGCTCCGTTTTCACAATTACACTTGTTCTCACAATTCGCACCAAATCTTCTTTTTCCACAACCTGAAAATCATTTTTACTCATCATAATACACAAGAGTCTAAAATATCATTTCAACATTTGTTTGCATCTGCCTTTTAGCACAAGAAGTACTTGATAAAAATTATCATATATTAGTACATGTATATCATAGTTACTTAAAACATATTATTTTATCATAGTGACTTACTTTTTCAGTTATTTTCTGCAGACGAATAATTAAATTTCAAAGCAATTTATGTTGATTCATTTGTTTAACATACTCCATTTATATGACTTAGTAGTTTTTATACTTGAATTCTTATTTAAGTAAATACTTTTTGCACTGAATTGAATTAATTAAAGACAAATGTAAAGAAGAGTTCTTGAAAAGTTCATGGACTGATATCTTAAAAAATAAAACACTTTTAATAATAATTAAGGTAGCTCCATAATCTTTTTTTTTTACCCTTCATATTATGTATAAAGTTGAACCTAAATATTAGCTTATTGTAAAGAACAAGGTTCAGTTATAGCCTTTTTTGGCCCTGTGAATTTCTGAAAAACTGAAACTGTTTAATTTTAGTTAACAATGCATTAAATATTATTTGGACCTTTGGTGATTGCATGTCTATCAAAAATGACGTTCTTATCTGGCTGGTCAATGCATTATGACGTCACAAAATGCATCAATTTCCTCACATTCTGAAAAAGTCTACAAAAACAGCTAATTTTTTAAGCTATTTTCCAGTATTTGATATAGAGCACAACCTCTGATCTAAAATAAGCACCTAGAAAATGATATAACAGTTTACTGTTGTTGAGAATTACAATTAATTTTTAGATCAGAGGATGCGCTCATATTATTTTTCTTCTCCGAAAGTACTCAAAATATACCTGTTTACATTAAATTCAAGAACACTGCAATTCAATAAAGCCTCTGTTCCAACACCTGGCATTTGAGAAAAATTTTAATAGGAAATGAAATGACTCTGTACTTTATTTTGAGGTTTAAAATGGAACTTATAGTGTTAGTAAATAGTCTAGTCATGTCTACAGGGCCGTTTTATGCATAAAGTGAACCGAGTTCTTTGTAATGCATCAGTCCATGAATTTTTTGATAATGCTCATAGTCAGAAATATCCACAGTTCATTACATCAAGAAGCTCAGTATTTTGTGGTGTAAGGAGACAAAACATGCATTTATTTACAGCATGCTAGACTTGAAATTTGATATTTACTTTCTTTTTAAGAAATCTTATGACTTCTTAAAAACATGAACATAATTAACATTGAGATGTACGGTTCCTGATAAATGTACCATAATCACTTTTTACTTCCCATAAATAAATAGAAAAGCTCAGAAACAATATTCATGTTACAACACTGAATTACCAATTCTCAAGGATTCTGCATTGAAAAATAATGAGTTTTTTTTAATTCAGAACAAGTTAATTTCCACAGCTCCTCCATAAACAACACAAGGTATAAATACAAATTTTCCGTCAATATATACCTGATTCGGGTCTCCCTTTAGGTTTGTTTATAAATGAAACCACAGATATACTCTCATTACGGCGTCTGTCACGGACTTTTCTATTTCGTCTATTCTTTCTCCCTGTTGAAAGGGCATGTTTTGTTAGGCTTATATTAATTGTTAAATCAAGCTTTAATTTGTCTATGTTTGCCATAGATTTAAGTTATCAAGCAATTAATTAAGTTTTCTACCCTAATTTGTATTCTGATTAAACTTTAGAAAGCAAAGATATCTATATATCGATCTGTATACAGGGAAATTTTTGCCCCCGTTTTATTTTTGCCCCATTTGCCCTCGTCGGGCAAATTTAAAACAGGGCAAATACAAAGTAAACAGTATTATATCTTAAACAAAAATATTTCTGGGGGTATTTAAAACAGGGAAACTTGTTTCCAAATATGAAAGGGCGAACATAACCCTGTATACAGTAGTAATTATTGCAAAGAATTCTCAGTCGTAATGCATTATTGTTTAAATTACAGTCAGTTTCATATCAACATACAACATTCAATGCTAAGTATTGAAAATAGTGTTCAAAGCATGATATAGTGAAATTCTGAAACAGTTTGAAATGCTTTTCACACAGACAGTGGTTTATATACATGTATATGTATATTAGAACTTTACCATCAAACACTTCAAATTTATTATGATTGTAAGTTTAAGCTGTGATCAGTTTTTTGACACTGTAAACATGTCATTCTTAGCTATATTTACTTCTGGTGCAGTTTTTCCCATAATGCCCTGGTTTACAGCTACAGTTTCCTGTGACAGGGTCACATACAGAGTTCCTCCCACAGTTACACGACTGATCACACCCCTCACCGTACCGACCCTCCGGACATTCTGTAACAAAACAAAGTCATCAGAATCTGTAAATAATCTCTACACTAACTGTCTAGTCACATGATATTGTCTGTCTACACTTAAATATCTCTACACTGTCTAGTCACATGATATTGTCTGTCTACACTTAAATGTCTCTATACTGTCTAGACACATGATATTGTCTGTCTACACTTATATGTCTCTACACTGTCTAGTCACATGATACTGTCTGTCTACACTTAAATGTCTCTAAACTGTCCAGTTACATGATATTGTCTGTCTACACTTAAATGTCTCTATACTGTCTAGTCACATGATATTGTCTGTCTATATTTAAATGTCTCTATACTGTCTAGACACATGATATTGTCTGTCTACACTTAAATGTCTCTACACTGTCTAGTCACATGATATTGTCTGTCTACACTTAAATGTCTCAACACTAACTGTCCAGCTAGGATATTGTCTGTCTACACTTAAATGTCTGTACACTGTCCAGTAACATGATATTGTCTGTCTACACTTAAATGTCTCTACACTGTCTAGTCACATGATATTGTCTGTCTACACTTAAATGTCTCTACACTGTCTGTTTACACTTAAATGTCTCTACACTGTCCAGTTACATGATATTGTCTGTCTACACTTAAATGTCTCTACACTGTCTAGACACATGATATTGTCTGTCTACACTTAAATATCTCTACACTGTCTAGTCACATGATATTGTGTCTACACTTAAATGTCTCTACACTGTCCAGTTACATGATATTGTCTGTCTACACTTAAATGTCTCTACACTGTCTTGTCACGATATTGTCTGTCTACACTTACTGTTTTGACAGCCTTCTCCAGAGAAGCCTGGGGGACAGGAACATTGCCCGGTGACATGATTACAAGGTTGGTCATCCCCACACAAACACACGTCCATACAGTCTTGTCCATAGAAACCTCGCATACAAGCTACAAGGAAAATCATCATGGTTAGGTAATCTTATATATAAATTATATAAAAATAATACAGGTGAACTATGGTTTCCTGAACCTTAGCATCTGGAATACTATGGATATTTTCCAAATGAATTTGCTGTCACTACAAATTTGTCCATATTGCCAAATATCCCCTGAACATTTCCATATATACAGTAAAACTGAGAGTTTTAGGAAAGAACTGACCTCTGTGACAGTTTCTGCCCCTCCAGCCTGGAGTACAGGTACAGTCCCCGGTCACATGATGACAAGACGCCCCGTTCTTACAGCCACATTCTTCATCACAATTCTCCCCATAAAATCCATTGGGACACTCTGCAACAGTAAAATTTGACTTTCATCTCTTCTTTTATAATTCACTATTTTTCATTATCAACTACTACAACAATTTTTTTTATGAAAGTATAAATTCTGACAGACTTTGTAGTGTACCTTTATCACATAGCTGCCCTGTGTATCCAGGGAGACATTTACAACTTCCTGTTTCCTTGTCACATGACTCTGCATTAACACACTGGCATTGATGTACACAGTTAGGACCAAAGAAACCCTCATAACATGCTGCAATTAAGTGAAAATCCAACAAAAACTTATAGACCTGACCATTCAAAAAAGATTTGTTACATGTATGATCTTCAAGTCTGGAGTACTCACATTTTTCACAGGCTGTTCCAGTGAATCCACTTGTGCAGTTACACTCCCCTGTAATACTGTTACATGGAGCGTCATTCCGACAAAAGCAGTGGTACAGACAGTTAATACCATAAAATCCCTCAGGACATTCTATAAGGAAAAGTCAGAACTATAATTAATAAGTGACCAGCACTGACCTGATTCTTCAATAATAAAGACAATTATAAAGAATTTCTAGAATCTATATAATACACAGAATATCAGACCATTTGCAGATGATTGTCTCTTGTTTTTTATACATGGAATTATGGGACATAAAAGCAGCTTTCTCATTTGTTCCACAAGTCCATCCTCACAATGTCAAGGTTCCAAAATCAAAAATCTTGGACATTGTGAGGATGTCAAGAGTCTAGCCTGGAGGAAACAGTACATCAGGACATTTTGGTGGCATAATCTGCCGAGGGTTAGTGTAATGAAGTGACCAAATACCCTTGGCTTACAAAGAGGTCCTAATAGAGGTTCAATCCTCTTTAATCTTCACTCACTTTTATAAATTTTTGAAAAGTGAATAGAGATGTTGTCATATTATCTTACCCTCTTCACAATGATTTCCTCTCCAGCCAGCAGCACACACACAGGCCCCAGACACCGGGTCGCAGGTGCCCCCGTTTCCACAGTGACACTGGTGCCTACACTCCTCCCCGTATGTTCCTAACGGACACGCCCTAGAACAGTCCTCCCCCGTCCACCCTGCTGAACACTTACACTCCCCTGTCACGTGGTTACACTCTGCCCCATTGTTTCCACAGTTACAGACCCCCTGACAATCCAGGCCGTAAAATCCCTGGGGGCAGGGCTTGTCACAGTGCTTCCCCTGCCAACCAGCAGTGCAGGTGCACCCTCCTCCAATATGATCACATGATGCACCATTGGCACAGCGGCATTTCTCTTTACACCCTGCTCCAAAGGTACCATAATCACACCCTGTAGGGAAAGTCACAGAAAAGTCACAATTACTGTAATGGAATTTATGTAAATTTATAAACTGAAATTATAGCATCTAGAAATTAGATTGATAACTAAGATAAGACACCATAACATATGGTTAATTTAGTTATACACTGTACTCACTTTCATCACATCCCATCCCTTTCCAGCCCGGCCCACAGATACAGTCCCCGGTAACATGGTCACATTCCGCCCCATTCCTACAGGCACACCGGTAGATACAGTCAGGTCCATACGTCCCAGGAGGGCACACTGATAACAAACACAGCGAAATTAAAGGGGATTTCAAGGAACATCAAATTTGTCTTTGTGAAATTATGAAAAAGAAATCAAGGTGCGAGTAACATTAACCAAACACTACATTCTGGTTACCTTGGTCACAGATGGTCCCTCTGAATCCCTCTCTACATTTACATGAACCATCCACTGGGTTACACAAGGCGTTGTTCTCACATTTACACTGAAGTAAACACTGGAAGCCGTAACGGGTAGGCGGGCATGCTGAATAATGACAAAAATTATGCAATTTCACAGTAAAAAAAAATAACCCCATGGAGACTTTTCCTAAGAATTTTTAACACTTTCATTGAAACCTTTTTTTTCTATGTAAAACTTCACAAATTTATTTGAAAACAGTTGGTGAAAACACATGAAATACAATATGAATTGTTTTAGAGTAGTAAACTTCTCACCGTCTTGACATTCCTGGCCGTACCATCCGTCAGGACAGAGGCACTCTCCCGTGACCTTATCACACTCCCCCCTATTACAGGTACACTGGTACATACAGTTCACTCCCCACGTACCATTACGACAAGCTGAAAGTAAACCCCCAACATTCAAATCTACCAATACTCTTGCATACATGCCAACTTTTGAAAATTCCCATGGGGGATTTTGCGCGTGACGACATTTTTCATAGCTTTAAATTTGTGACATTTTGTTGTGAAATTAAATGATTATGACATGATCCTTTTTTTAAATTTATAATATAATTAATATCACTTATTAATATTACTAAAGGATAAAAATAAGACAAAAATAAGGTTTTTCTTTCCAAAATGGAAATATTTTTGCTCCAATAGGTGCCTCTCTCACTAAAGAAGGGATAATTAGTTACATATGTAAACTTTTTTTTACCAGCTAGGACACATAATTTGGTGAAAAATTGAAAATTGTACAACTTTTGATACTGTAAAGTACTGTTTCTGGGAACATTTATGAGATTTTTATATTTTAATTAATTAGAAATTCTAATCAGATATTATATTCAAAGAAATTTTGAGAAATTGCAATGCATTTATTTTTTATTCAAAGAAATAAATCATCGGTTTTGAAGAATTAAATCATCAATTTTCTAACATAAAGATACCACCTATCCCAAAGAAATTTTTTTTTTTTACAGTCTTGAACTTTGGCAGGCTTGATGGTGCTATGTGGGTATTTCTTAGTCACATATGCATAAAATATTATAATTACTTTTGGGAGAAGGGAGGGAACAGATATTCTAATTGACATAGACTTTATTGTTTCATCAGGATTTTTTTTGTAAGAGTGATGATTTATTAATTAATTTCTAATTAATTAATAAATATCAAATTATTTTGTATTCTGTTTGTATATATTTTTATTTCAGCTTATTAGATAAGTGTATGGTCATTCAGGTGTAACAGACAGTGCTACCCTGTTATTTGCCTTTAGGGTTATAATTAAGGTCCTGGCCATAAGTCCTATAAGTCATTTGTTTCTATTGGATTTTAGTTTTGTGTTCTTGTGTTTTATTGGTTTGTCAAATTCCCTCCAAAGTGTTCTTGGTCTTTCTGGTCATTCTTTGTCCAGATTGTTGATAGAGAGGTTCCATTGATTTGGTTGTGACAGAATTTGACTATTTGACATTCTGACTGTGACTCTCTTCATCTTCTGGTAAGTTAATATTTATTTACTAACTTTAACATATCTTTAATAAATAGTTCATTAAATGTGAAATCTGTAATTCCTGCAATATTAATTTCCATAGCACTTTTGCACAGTAAGAGAGATTTTGGAAGTCAGATTTTTACTTAGTTATTAGCAGTAAAGCTAGGGTATTTTATGATCCAGATAATATGTACATAATTATGTGTTTTATGATCAGAGAATTATGTAAGGTTTATGATAATTTATAGTTATCATCTGGACTCCCAGCCATATACTGTAGTTGTGTGATAAACCATATGGGAGTTTGCCTATTCCCTCAGAATGGTATGCTATTGTTTTTATGATTTATTGTTTATAAGAAAAAGGTACATAATGTCTATGAAGATATTATAGCTTTAATAGTAATATATATTTTGTTGTAAAGTATTTTAATTATATGCACAAAGTGTAAATTCTAAGGGAGTATTATATTATATCCAAGATGTGTAATGAATGTAAGAGTTACCTCTCTTTATGCAGCATTGTGTATAATATTGAATTGTGCATTAATGATTTTATGATTTTACTCAATATTGTTATTATTTATTTCAGGACAATAGTGAATATATTTATATCTACAACCATTAATAAACAGTGTGTCGAACCCTGACAGGTGTTTTCGTTATTACGATTCCATAACCCTGTTACAAATTTGGCGCCCACGTTGGGACCCTTGGGATAGACAGTGCAGTGAGACCCTTGGGACAGACAGTGAGACCCTCTCTGCAACAACCAGCAGCCTAACGCCATTTCTGATATCCATTGTGAACAGTCTGCTTGACCAGTGTCCGTACCATAGTGTAGATCCTATTCACGGATGGACGGACTGTGATGTGTGATGTACGCGTACCATATAATACCATGATGTAGTGACTGATAGTGACAGTACCGGTACATAACCGTCGAGATCACCTCTGCGTGGTACATATCCGTTAAGACCAGCTTTGGACAATTTTGTGACTCATCATTCATTTTGTGTGTTATATGTGTTTTGTGTATTGTGTTGTGTGCCATATATGGTGTGTATTTTCAACAAGTGATTTTATCAGCTGATTGGTGAGTGTTACTGTTAGAATATTGTTTACCTGTATACTAAGAGCTCTATAATTATTTTTTTTTTTTTTTTTTTTTTTTGCTTGCAAGCCTATTGTATTTTTGAAATTTATATATTTATTGGGTATCCTTGGTATTGAAAATTCTTGATTAATTTAGTTTTAAGTGTAAAGGTTAGTTTTAAAAGTTTGACAGCTGAGTGCCAGATTGGTAAGTGAGGTATCACAAATTCACATATCCAGAGATCCAGGTACCCTTGAATTACTAAAATGTAAGTAAATTAATTAATAATTCTATCTCTTTTGACAGTGACTTTTTGACAAATATACATTACAGACATTTCAGTTGAATTAGTAGATACAGTTTTCTTGGTAAAGTGTTAGTATTTGTGTGCAGGTGAATTATATCCTTTGGTTCTAAGTTGTGCAGTTTTCAGAGTTGTTGGAGGGTTGATTTAAATAAGTTTTATTATTACATTTGCTTGTTTTATTGATTAGTGTAGTGCTCACCTTATACTTCATTGATTTTCATTTATTTAATACTTATTTACATCGGGTTCGTCCCGCAATTTGATCGAGATCGGTTTCTTTTTCCGATTGCGCATTTCCGATCGAGCTCGAAATCCGCGTTATTTATTTTGACCGGAAGTAAGTTTAGACAACGTGATTTGGTAAACAAATATTGAAATTTGCCTTATTTTCCCAGTGTTTGTTATTCATTATTCATTTAAAGTCATTTGAAGTACAGCAACAAAGGTATTGAATGTCATTATCTCTTTCAGGTAATTATTTTGCGTCAAATTTTCTTTATTTCAGCCTTTGAATTTCAGTCAGCTGATTTTTGATTTCATTCAGTAGAACATATCATTATTCATTCGTTGAAATATCCCATACTCAATTGAAATATATCTTGAGTTTATTTGAAAAGCATTCATAGTAATACATATTTACTAGGGAACTACCTATCAGCAGTATTCATTCGTTTTAAATATTTGAAACAAGCCCATTTTATCAGTTTATAGTTCTGTCATGAACTCCCATCTGTAAATAATACTTTGTTATTTGTTACTCCCCCATGATTAGTTCATGCTCAACTACCCTCCTATTCTGATTATATTCTTGTTTATTTCATCATTACTGTACAACATGCCGAAATCCGAAGGAGATGCAAGTAAAACAGATACTTCACCCGAGACAGAAGCTGATAAAGGAGCTACGGCTAGCCAAGTATCAGAGAATGAGTGGAAAAGTCTGTACGCCACGTTGGAGAAAATGAAGATAAAACCAGACAGCTTCACATCATGGTTAGCTTCACAGGAAGATCAGCCACAGGCTAAGAAGGAACTGAAATTTCCTACCACACAAGCACCAACATTGCCACCACCGCTACCTACCGGCTCTTACTATAAAGCACCTTTGAGGATCTCAGTGTTTTCTGGTGATGAAAAGGACTCATATGAACTTTGGAAGTATGAGGTTGTTTGTCTCATGAAAGAGTCTCATTCTGAGGAGTCCATTCTTCAAGCCATCAGACGTTCAGTCAAAGGGGAAGCAGCCAAAGTCATCATGAGATTAGGTGTAGGTGTAAGTGTGCAAGAAATCCTGTGCAAGTTGGACAGTATTTATGGAAACGTGTTGGAGAAAGAGGATATTTTGGCTGAATTCTATAGCGCAAAACAGAAGGATGATGAGACTTGTTCCGCATGGAGTTGCCGTCTTGAGGATATTTTATGCAAGGCGATGAAGATGGGTAAAGTTCAGAATAGTGCAGCAAATGAGATGCTTCGCACTATGTTTTTTAAAGGACTCAGACACGATTTGAAAGATATTTGCGGACACCTGTACCATTCAATCAACGACTTCGACAAGCTACGGGTGGAAATCAGGAAAATAGAGACTGAACATCCAGCCCAAGGAAAAGTAAAGTCAAAGCCAGCGATTGTAAAAGCAGGAGTATCTCAGCCTGAAACGAGCACTTTCGATAGTAAGTTTGAAGCCCTGCAGGCTCAAATTAATCAGCTGAGAACGACACAAGAATCCTACTACAATCCCCCCTCTTACGGATTTAGTAACTTCAGAGGAAAACAACCCTATCAGAGAGGAAGAAGACAATTTTCAGGTCGTGGTAGAGGTTATACTCCCAGAATGCCTGAACCGAGAGTCACTGATGTTAATCCAGGACAACAGATGCCTCGAAGGAGTGGTAGTGTTGTATGTTACAAATGTGGTCAGGAGGGCCACATCGCAGTTGGTTGTCGTGTAAGGGTAGACCACAGGAGGAATTTAAACTACAGATGGCCGAATCCTGGGGACAAGGGTCTGGCCGACAACACCGTGGTCCCACCAGCTCGCAAATAGTAGGGACAGCCAATGAAGTACAAGTGGTTATAAATGGAATATCATGTTTGGCATTACTCGATACTGGTGCAACTGTTTCTACAATATCCCAGTCATTTTATACCACACATCTGCAGGGAACAACAGAGTTGCATCCATTAGATGAGCAGATAGACATTGAGTGTGCAGATGGGCAGTTGATGCCTTACATGGGATTTGTTATAGTAGACTTAGCCACTTATGGACTTTCATCTATTGATGTTTTGAAACAGTGCTTATTTTTGGTTGTTCCTGATAGCAAGTACAATTCACGAGTACCAGTACTTTTAGGTACCAATCTACTTGATAACCTGATGAAGATTACAAAGTCAGAGTATGGTACCAGATTTCTACAGAAAGCGGACATACACACTCCTTGGTATTTGACGTTCAGATGTCTTACCTTGAGGAACAGACAACTAGAGAGAAACAGA